GATAGAGCAAAAGGTTCAGCCCAGTAGTTAAGATGTACCTTTGTTCCCTGACTGGCCCTCGATTTGACTACAAGTTTATAGTCATTGCTAATAAGTATCAGCAAGCATCTTGAAAGGAGGAATCAGTCTTGCCTTAATTCCAGATTTTGACACTCCACATCCCCCAGTGACTAACTAGTTGGAAGAAGGATTATAGAAGAAATTTTAGAGGGAGATTTTAGAAGCAACTTTCCTAAGATTTAAAAAATGCTTTGAGCATGTAGTGAAAGACACCTAAAATAAAATATTTAATTGGTATTAGCTTTTTAATGCACAGTGATCGTGATGGGGTGAAAAAAAAAATTACACGTGCCTTTTTAATGCTATGGCCCACAGGAAAAATCAGATTAGATTGCAGAATTTCCTTCCTTTCCTTAGAAAAGGAAAAAAAAATAAAAGCAACAAAAATAAAACAAAAAAACAATTACTTCTTGACTACACTTACAAGTAATTAAGGGGGAAAAAAGTAAAACTGAGTCTTGCTACTTCTAATCCTGGAATTTGCATAGGACATAGATACTGTGCTCATGGAACCTCAGAAGGCAGAAAACTCTCATGTTACTTTAGAGCTGAGAACAGCACTTGATATGACAAGAAAAGCTCTGTTCTTAGTCCTCAGGATTCACTGCTCATCTTCAATAGATTTTTTTCCCTTCTCTCTCTCTAGGACAGAGGATTTTAGAAGATCAAATTTTATGATTTCTCAGATCCTGCCAGCAAACAGATTTTCCAGACAGACACTGTGAAGTATATATCTCAGGTTGTTTGGAGACCAGACAATACAAGGAAAGCACAGAGTATTTTTGAATCCTGGAAAACTATTTTCTGTGCACTTCTTTCTTGGCCATTACATTGAACACTCAGCCTGTCTATATTTTACAGGTGTTTCAGTTCTCTTAGTAGATGGAGATTCTATAAGTTTTAGGCAAAAACTTAAAAGTCATACTTGAGTTTTTTCTGTGCTTTGTGTTTATGCATTCAAATTTGCCTTTAATAACCTGGGACAGAAGCTTACTTTCTTCTCTCGCTTTGTTTAATTCAGACAAAGTCCTTATTGCTTAAATACTTCTAAACTGGTCCTAATTCTAATGTAAACAAAGCCCCTCTAAACTGACCTAGTCCTGAGCCCTCATTTAGTGTCAATCAGGGTCGAACAGATGAATATGGCAGCAAATAGCAACAGTGAGAAGGGAAGGAGAGAGGAAAAGGGGAGAGAGGCAGGTTTTTTACAGGAAGTTAAAAGAAATTAGTCTGGAGAAATATCACAAACAAGAGTGAGGATTGCACAGCTGAGTCACTAACCCTTAGCCCTTTGGTAAAACAAGATGAAATCAGGACAAGGCTGGAAAGAAGTTTGAATCAACAGATGAGCAGAAGCCAGAGAAAGCTGGCACACCCCCTTTGCTGTATCCTCCATACGCTCCCGCTCAGCTGGATATCAGAAGCTCTTTTCTGATGGAGCATCCTGCTAAGGCTGAGGCTCAGGCTGAGGCTCAGGCTGAACTCTGACTTCCCTGGATTCTCCCCGCTCTTTGTTCCCACGTTCCCCAGAGCCCCATCCATGCTATCGGGCAGTGCTTGCTCTCAGTGAGGGGTTAGCCTTGACTACCAGGAACATGATTGTCCTAACCTCAAAAGTTCAGCATTGGGCCCAAGTAAAAGGAGTCCAGGGGACAAGTTACATCTTCACCGACTGTCCCTTGAGACTAAAACTGAACTGCTGCCCACCTGTGCTGAGATCATTAACAACGAGGCACTGTCACCAGTATTATTCCCTCCTAGACCATGTGAAGCACCTGGCTTGCCAAGGAGGGCTGTGCGTGCATGTGTTAGATACGCAGGGTTGGCATGCTCTGGAGTATACATATGGATGTATAGGCTATATTCCATATTTCTTAGCATCTGACAGAGAATCAGCAGCCAACTGCTGCCATTCTGTTGGCTGCCACCTGTCTGTTTATACCTGGAAATCTCAGAGCACACACTCTTTCACTGAAGACATTGCATAAACATTGGTCTATGTCAGAGGCATGCAAATTACAAGAGGAAAATTCATTAGGATGCTAAAAATACTTCCTAACAATATCAGGTGGGAAACCTAGGTATTAACAAACTGCTCACAATACTTCAACAGCAATGCAAGAAGATTCCCAAATGGAAAGTACCTTACAAACTTTTACAGTGTTTTGACAAATGAAGACCTAAGGATTACCTAGCTTAACAAGAAATTCACATGCTGCTCAGACACAGCCTAGTACTTTTCAGCATAACCACATAAATATAAGCCATGGCAGTTAAATAAGGGAAAGGGACTGAAAACAACTTTGAGGAGTGCTGTGTAATCCTTCTCAGTTCTGGTTCAAGAGAACTCATCTCTTCCTGGGTTTGAATATTTCATATATAAACAATGCAGTCAAACATTTGAACTTCAATACCATTATAACGGCCATGATAATGAACATTACTATAATTAATGGTGTATTATAATGAAGCACAGAATCAAAGAATGTTAGGACCTTTGGAGGTCACCCTGTTATATCTCCCTGCTCAAGCATGGTCACCTGCAACAGGCTGTCCCAGACCGTGTCTGGACAGTTTTTAAATATCTGCAAAGAAAACTCAACAAGCTCTCTAAGCAATCTATTCCAGTGCTCAAAGTGAAATAATGTTTTCTTATGCATAATTTTTTCCCCTATTTATAAGGTTTTTTTCCATAGAAATGCTATTCTTATGCTTTCAGATTATCATATATATAGACCAAATTCCTACTTGTAATTTCTATGCATGAGAATCTTAAATCATTCATAATCCCTTTTAAAACAAAACAACCTTTATGATATGAATGCCTGTTTCCACCACGGATGCAATCATTATTTCAAGATAATACCTAAGTACCAACAAGATTGTTTTTCCCTGCAGGTTGACATTTAAAGTTGCTCTGATTGGACTATTGTTCAAGTCAGATAAATTCTCCTTTATTAGAGCAAGAGTGATTAATCTTTTTTTTTTTAATCTTTACACACATAAACTTGCATACATATTGCCTGATCAAAGGAAATATAACTGCACGTATTCATTATCATCTGTTTGTAGTAAGTATTCTGTCGGCATAACTTAATCTATGCATTTGATTTATTAAGTGTTTGATTGAAGCAGAAAGTCCCTTTCACCATATTATTTACATTTTGAGTATGAGTATCTGTGTCAAACTTGGTTTTTAAAATTGACTTTAGAAAAGTTTTACATTCTTTAATTTTTTAGTAGAAATATATGTCCCTAATACCAAAAGGTGAACTATACTAAAACATTTTCTATCTAGACATATTGCCGAAGAAAAAACCCACCATATTTTCAATATAATGTTTTAGATCAAGTTTTAATTATTTTTATGTTGTTTGCATATGTCTATGTGTGATTCCCCAATATTAAACTTGAAAAGTTTATGACAGCCTATTTCAATAATTATATGAGACTTATCAGTATATTAAAATTATATTTAAGAAACACCAACATATGAATAGATGTTCCACATATATTCCTTAAGATCAGAGACCATCCAACCTCAGAAATAATGCTAATCATACCCCATATTTTGTCCTTCATTGTTCTCGCAATCTTTATGGTTTTGTGTTGGGGTTTTTTTTTGCACATGTGATTTCTCTCTCGTATGATTTATTCCACAGTTTTATTACTAGTCACTCTCTTCATTCTAGATTTCAATGTACTTTTCTTGTGCTATTTTATTTTAGTTTGCTTACAGCTGTCAAATGGAAATATAGTGATGAGACAAATTTTTGAATAATACTCTGCATAAAAACTTGTGCTGAGACAGTTATTTATTTCCTTGACTGTGGCCTGATTCAGTCTTTATTCTGATTGAGAACATTCCCTAGAGGATGCATAATTGTATAATTTAAAATTTTATTTTCCATCTGTTAAGAAACTTTTCATATTTAATCTACCTAGCACTCATTAATTAGCTAATAGGCAACAATTTTACTTGTTTTAGAACTCATGTTGTCAGTCCCTCCTTATATGCTGAGATAGAAACACACAATATTGGGTCTTTTTATTAAACCGAGGACCAAAAAGAAATATTTTTCATACTTTACAAAAAGTATTGAGAAAGAAAAATAGCAGTATCATGAAACATTAAGAAAGACTAACACTTAGAATTTCTGGCTGAAATTCAGACCTTTTTCTTGTAGCACAAAAATTCAGACGGGTGAAATATTTTTATCATCTCTGTTGGCCTGACCGTAGTTCTTAAGGCGCCTCAGATGTTGCTCCCATGACTACCATGCTAAGAAGGAATTAAGTTGATCAGCCCTATGCTAACTTTAGACAACCCATGGAAATATTGCAGACCTTTTCCCTGTTTTACAGAACCACCACAGAAGTTTCCCTTTCAGCTACCGGAAAAAGGGCAGGATTTGTTAGCTGAGAACTGTTTTGGGAGTCCTGGATTCATGTCAAAGGAGCATCAGGTGGGCAAAATTTGAATGTCATGTATTAGTTGAATATGGGAACCATGTAACTCAGAAAACTTTTGCACTATGCCATGGTCCAAAACTGCTAAATTCAGCAAGCACTGAGAACATCTACCTCTTGTAAACTTGTAAAAAAGTTTCTATTAATCAGCTAACTTTGACAACATTCTTCTTTGACGGGCAGTTTCCCTGTTTGCTTGGACTGAAATTCACTGAGGACTGGGACAAGTCATTGCCTTAAGCAGATGCTGACAGTTGCTTTAAGAGAGAGCCTCTCCTGGGTCTCCCTTTGAGTGTCTGTTGATATAACTTATTTCTAGTTTTTGAAGCTAAAACATATCTTATCTCATTCTCTTTGAAAAAGTTAATTTCTGAACATTACTCCAATAAATACAAAGAAGACAAGGCTGGTATGTAATTTATCCCTTGACCATGGACGAAAAGGAAGAACTATTAGAGAATAATCCATACCTTGTGCCGTAATCTTACTAGGGGCTGATAGGGCCTAAAGTCATATCCTTCCTTGACTGGCCAGCCATCTGCTCCCAGCAAAACGCATCCAAGAAGTGAAACAGCAGACCACCACATAAACATCTTTACAGGTCTGTTTCTGTGAAAATAAAATGTACAAGTTCAGAGATTAAATATTTCTTTAGCATAAGCTGTATAATAAAGGTTTACAATACTGATAATCCAATTGTGGACTTGAATAAATATAGTAGATATAGGGCAATCCATCTGGCAAAACAGCAAAAAGAAAAAAAATGGTAGTAACATTTGGGACAGCAGAATCAATTTGGTAGTGCTGAACTGAGAATTTTCTTATCACTCTTCAATATCCATATGAGAGAGTCACCGAGGAAACAATCAGGAAAAGTCAAAGGAAAGACACAAAACAAGAGAAAAGCAGTGTTGAAAAATTAAGGACTTTTTCTCAGATGAAATAAAAAAATTATCATCAATCATATGTTCATCAACTTTTTATTTTAAATCTGGTCTCTTGCAACGCATTATTCACAACCTAAAAGCTTGTAATAATCATACTCAGAGATTTACATATGCAATATTTATCATTGATATTCAGCATTTGTGTCAAAACTATCATATTAAACAGACAACACAGCAAACTGATCTTCATTACTTCAAGATACTCCCAAGTCAGTCTGCTTAGTCTATATTATTTAGTCCTGAATTATGGGATGGACAGAGACTTTCATGCATGAGCGGGTTTTCCCCTTTCTACTCTGCTTTTAGTTCACTTACCCTGCCAATGCAGAAACTTCTGATAGGAATCAAGATAAATAGATGTACAAAACATCACAAGTGTGCCCTAGGAGCTCAGATTGTGCACTGAATTTTGAAGTCTTGCTTGACATTTTCTTTTCTATGGGAAGTCATCTGAGCATAAAATGTGAACAAATTGGGGATCACTTATTATCATTTACAGTCATGCTCCTGGCAATACTGTTACACAAACTGTGGCTTTGATTCCTATCATTCTTCACATAGCAGTAGTCTTCACAGTCAGCTGAAGGCAAAGAGACTGAATAGAATTAATTCCTGTGGAGATATTAAATGCAGTAAATGGACTCTACTCTTACCTCTATTCACAGCCTCAGTAACAGATCCTACTTACCTTTCTTTGGGAACTACTCTACCAAACATGGTAAAACCACTTAAAGGTCTGTTTCATCCTCATTCCAGCTGATTTTTACCAGCCTGCCTTGCCTTCACACTTGTAATTCAAACAAAAGCTTGACATTAATACACCATATTACTTCAATGTCACTTACCTTTCATTCCACCAAACCCAATCTAATAATCTAATTCTGGGTCTCCTTATTAATCAAACTCACCATTTCATCTCATTTGTTATTACTTATTCCAACAGTTTCCACTTCAATTACCTTCCTTTGGTGCTCCAGCTTTTCTAATATACATAGTATAGTATCTCTCTTAGAAGAGGCTGCACAGAATACATTAAGCAGAGAATTATTTGAAACACAGAAAACAAGCCCTATTACAGAGAGATATTTTATGTAAATAAGTTGAAGCTTGTTCTTCTACACCTGTTCAGTAACAGGATAATATAGTGAGGATAGGAAATGACATAGTGAAATTTTCTTCTTGTATTCCCCTCACACTTCCACCAAAACAGAAAGGCTAATCAGATGTTCTGGTGGACCTTTGCTATGGGATTATTATAACTAATCTAGTTTAATGATGGCAAACACCAAAAAAGACTATTTCAGAATGCTAAGGATTCAAGTACATTATAGTACGGCATTTTCCTTCACTAATTCTGTGTTAGTTTTATGTTGGGGTTAGCTCCAATAAAAACGTGGACAGTCATGGCTTAAGGCCGTGGGGAAACCCCTGAACAGAGGTGAGTAAAAAATCACTCCCAGAATCCTCCAGTTCCAGTATGTTGATCATTGCCAGAAAGTTCTCTGCTTCTCTTATTGCCATTGGTTCCTTTTTGCTGCAATAATTTTAATATTCCTAATCGCCCTTCCCTATTGGATCCTTTCCCTAAACTCTGCCCTAATTCCTCCCCTCCTCCAAGTTTATAAATACCCTTGCCATGCCCTAACACTTGCTTTTTGCCATTGTCTTCAAGCATGGAACAAGCCTCCCTGTACCATCTTTCCCAGTTCATTCAGTACAAACTGTTCAGCTTGCTGTTTGTTGTTTTCTATTATTAAAGCTTTTTAGTTCCCGAACAATCAGGTCAGATTTTCTTTCTGCATAAAGTCACCGAGTTCAGTTATGCCACTGACTCTAATAGCTGGGCTAGGATACCTCTAAGTATCATTGTCAGTGGAAAAGTAAGTCCATTAAAAAAAAAACAAACAAAGCAAAACAAACCAAAAAAACCCAAAACAAACAAACAAAAAATAGAACAAAAGAATATGAAAAATTAGAATCTTGGCTGTCAAAGAAAACACCTGTTTATTTGTGTTTGTTGAAATTTTTTAAAAAATATTTAATTGTTGACTTTCAAGGTCAGAATCAGATTAGTTTAGTACTTGTGCATGCTAAGACTAGCTATGCATGGTTGAATCTTTGTCCCCTTGGTGCACTTCTGGAATACTTCTCTGTACAATTAAAATTTGGTTGGAAACAGTCATTTCACAGAAGGCTGTAAGAGCAGCCTCATTCCACCAACCTCCCACAAACTGAATATATTTTAGTCTCATGTAGTGTAAAAGAATAGAGTCCTTATAGTTTCGAAAATTGTTTGACCTTGAAGCGTTTATGCTTTGCACTTGTACAGAAGAAGGGAAAATTATTACATGCTCAGTTTCTGACTTCATTGCCTGATACTTGGATGAACACTTACAACACAAATTTAAAAAGTAAGCTTTTTGGACAGATGCCACCTAAAATCCCAAAATTGTGCAGGGTCTATCCAGTTGTTATTTGCCTTTTTAAAATACATTTTCTATTGAATTTATTGGATTATTTTAAATTATTATTTATTTTTAAATTACTACCAAAACCACAGTTCTCCTTAATACAGTACTATTAGGAAGCCTTTATTTTAAGAAAAATTGTCATCTGTACTAAAGACTTACACTGTTCAAGAGTAGAACTAAGAGCAGGAATAAAAATGACTTTTCAAAGCTTCATTACAACTGCAGATTTTGGTGCCATATATTACTGAACAGAAAGAAATAAGGTATCAAGACTTTATGTTCATGTTACCTAAAATTGCTTCTTTCTTATTTCTACTTGAAGGTACAGCCGAAATTACAAGCAAAGAGGGTTTGTTACTTTTAATATTGTATTAAGAAATCAGAAACGGTGCTTGGAAAGAATTGTTATATCATGCATTCTGGTGCAAAATGACATCTTTCTGAACTCAAATTTGCATGAATGATCTAGACCCTCTTCTCGTTAATTATAATCTCAAATAACTTGATATTTCAGTGCTTAGATAACATTCTTTATTTTTAACTTCATTCATTAAATTACATAATTGTAAAGGAATTGCTTATAGGTTGTTATTATATGTCTACTTTTATTTTAACTGAAGACTGTTGCTTCTTTATATTCATATAACCAACCATGTTTGGAAATCTGATGAGTTTACTTGGCCTACTCTCTCTTTAAGCAGATACCAGTCTCTATCTCTGCATTTTCCTGGGTTTTTCACTGCACATTTCTCACTTAAAATATAGATTATAGGTTAAAATGCACAGAAAAATTTTAAAATTACAAAATATTCCATTACATATTTTAGTGGATATATGTGATTTGTCTGCCACTAAACACTGAACTGAAATTCTTAAATAACTACTAGCAATATCTCCCATCCTATTAATGTAAACAGTTAATTTATAGTTACTCATTGCATGTAAATAATTACAGTGGAGTTTCCCCCCATTGCACACCAATAAGTAGGGTGCTGAGTTTCTTTCCTCAATATGCATTAATTTTCCTATTAAAAATTAGCTTAATGCACTATTTTTGCATCAAATTGATCCGTGTTGTAGGAGACTTATGTGTTGTTTGTCATACTTAGATTTTCCTCATGAGGAGGAATTGAACAGAGATGTCGAACAGATAATGGTTACTCGTTATTTCTCACTGTACAGTAATTTCATTTAGATTTAGATTTTCCTTTCTGATTCTCAGAAGACTCTGTCATTTCACTTTTTAGCCCATTTCCAGAGCATTCATGAATCTGATGTACTCTGCAGTTTTCTCACGATTGCTTTCTTTCCATTTCAGTTACTTCTGAAAATTTTTATAAATTATTATCCTTAAGAGGATTGTTTTATTCTGTGTCAAGTTTATACTTTAAAACTCTTGGTTGAGAAGCACTGCTGGGAGAGCTATAGCTTCTCAAGTGACAGAAGGAATACCTTAGGATATCTCACCTTATTTAGGTAAGGGAATTGGGACCATTAAATAATTTTCAGGATTTGTTTTTTGGTTTTTTTTAAGCAAAAAAAACTACATGAAAAGTTCATAGAGTTTCCACCATCACCCTGATGATCAGAGAGTCATCATTGAGTTAGAGACAATTTCTTTTAATTCTTGAAAAAATGTAATGCAAACCCATATCACCCCTCTCTTCCTAGTGCTTTTCACCCTTGCAAGGCCCATATTTTGTGAAAAACAAAGTAAATCCCACTTCTGACACCTTACTTATGTATATTGAATAATGATTAATATATTCTACAACACCATAGTGAGTGTTTCCTCTCAAAGTTATTATGATTTCTAAATCTTCTCAGCAGTTCATTGGTAATATAAATTTTGTTCTTTGCCTAACATTTTCTTGTTGCACTAGGAAAGAGGCTGCTACCATGAGAGTTTAGCAAATGGATAATAAGCATTACTTTACCTGTCCCCATGTTGTAATCTTCACAGAGAAGATTGAAAATATATCATATTTTACACAACTAGTTCCAAATGTGATAATGTGTATTTACAGAGTACTAAAAAAAAATCTAATTAATGTAATCTGGCTTAGCGAGAGTTTATATAAAGAGTTAAAACATATACCCAGTTATAAGAATGCCCTATTTTAAAATGTATATATATTCAAAATTAGTAACGTTGCCATTTTCAAAGCTCTTCTTTTTCCAGAATTCCTCA